GTTTTGTTCAATGGCAATAGGGCGTTGATATTTAAAACTCAAAAGTCCAGAAACGTCATGAAGCAAACAAATAAGAGAATCAGTGCTAAGCCAGAGTATTGTGTTTTATTAATTCTTATACGATAAAACTGCCTTCAAGAATAACGAAGTGAAGAGTTGAGTGTGTTGGCAGAATGCACTAAGCAAAGCGCATAGCATTCGTGCATGAATATATTAATTTTAAATGTCAGTGACGGTATGCGTACCAAAATAGAAAAGAAAGAAATAAAATAAACAAGCCTAAGGCATATCTATGTAAATAACATAAAATTATGGAAATTTTGTATAAAATATACGTGAGCTTCTCATTACAGTAGCTTTTGCGAAATAATATGCATTAAGGAGAAAATTGTTAATATTGAAATATTTAAAAAGAAAGAGAATTATTGCAAAGAAACGTCAACATTAATGTATGAGTTAATTTACAAAAAGTGGTTTACAAAGAAAAATTGTTAATGTAAAAATAGTTAAGAGGAAAGAGAATTATTGCAAAGAAACATCAACATTAATGTATGAGTTAATTTACAAGAAGTGGTTTACAATACCAAAAAAAAACGGAAATTTGATGTAAATAAATTGGAAATTATATCTCACCAAATGGAGTTATCTCTTTCTTAAAGTAAAAAAAAAAAAGATTAAATAATTAGACCAAAAACGAACACAAACGGCAATAACAACGATAACAATAAAAATTCATTGAACAAACGCTTTAAATTACGCCAAAAGGCAACCTAACAAGGTAAAGAGGAAGAGGAAAAGGGGTGAATAAGAGAGCGAGAGCGTAAGAAGAAGGAACCAGAAGATCTAAGCAGCCACCACCACAGACCCTAGCAACGATCAGATTCACGGTCAGGTAGTTTCATTCATTTATTTCCTTTTTTTTTCCTTTTTCTTGCCCCTATTTGCGGAGGAGCCCCGATGTGTGGCTGAGTTTAGCCTGCCACCGCTGTGGCTGAGGTCAGATAAGGGAGTGTGCATGTGATGGCACCGTAGGGAGGACGTCAGACGGTTACAGACGGACTCACGGTAGACAGACGTACGATAGATTACTGACGAGACTATTCCTTTTTTTTGTATTCTTTGTCATGAGGCTCAGAGAGCCAAACCCCGTTAAGAAATACGCTCTACCTTCAACAAGGGGGCTAGTACCGTGACAACGTGTAGGTTGATACACCTAATTTACTGGACAACAAAAGTGTAGGCTGATACACCTAATTTACTGGCCAATAAGTAAAGTAGAGAAGAATGGGTAGCGAATACAGTAAAAACTCCTTATTCGCGGGTTATACGTTCCATAAAAATGCCGCGAATACAGAAACCGTAAATACGGAATGGTAATTTATATGGGATTGTAGGAGATACGTTCCTAAGTGACAAAATTAAAAAAAATCAAATATATAAAAAAATTAATTTAATTGAATTTTTCGAACATTTTGATTAATTATCTTAAGGCTTAGGCAATGGTTTGAAGAATTTTGTAAGTTTCTCTTGCTTGCTAGTTTGTAAACGCTCATTCAATTCAGACTGATACGCAGCAGTCGCATTAGCAATTTGCGTCTTAAAAATAAGACTTCGTTCCATAGACGGATCAATGTTTATAAAGAAATCGTTAAGTCCCTTTGCCATTCTTAAACCTTCACTAAGACTTTTCAAATTAAATGTCACGTTTTCAGTGCTTGTTGAAGCCTCTTCTTCAATGAGCGGGGAATTTAACATTTCCTCCAAGTCGATTGCAGTCAAATCTTCATCTTGCGATTCAAGCAATTCCTGAATGTCACTTGATTCTATCTATTCGAACCCAACTCATCGTATTCCATTCGCGATTTCGGCTATGTTTGCAGTCAAAGCTTGAACTTGCACAGATTCTTCGTCATTTTCTGCAGTCAGAGCAGACCACATTTTTTTCCAGCATGACTTCAATGTGTGTGGCTTCAGTTCTTCCAATGAGTCTTTTATGTTTACGATGCATTTTGCTACGTCAAATTTCTTCCTGCAAAGCCGTCGTGTTGGAAGGTAAAAATGTCACTTTTATGTTTGGATGCATAGTTTCAAGTTCGCGAGGACCTGGGCCATTGTCCAAAACTAGAAGTGCTTTAAAGTCTAAATTCTCTTTTTTTTAAATAAGTTTTAACTTCAAAAACAAAATGATTCCGGAACAAGTCACAAAAAATCCGCGAATAAAGAAATTTATAGCCGCGAATATGGGAATCGCGTCGCATTGTTTTAATCCGTGAATAGCGAAACCGCGAATAAAGAAAGCGCAAATAAGGAGCTTTTACTGTATTACAAATCATGGTTGCAAACCTTGTGAGCATGTGTGCGTATAATCAATAAGTAAAAATACAGGTACACAGCTAAGCATTGACGAAAATGTTAGAGCACGTTATATGGGGACGTTAGAGAAGGGACTGAATCTTAGACAATGAATCTGACAAGGGGATTAAGTGATTGTTCTTTTCTAAAAATTATCATTTGACTAGATTACACAACGCAGTAGGTTTAGTGGTGATCAAATCTTCTACGTACTTTAGTTAGTTTACTGCTCTCAGTGTGAGCACGGTATACACTGCATACTCAAATCCATAATACAATAATACAATACATGTTTTTTCGTGTAAATTTAGATTTGGTGCAAGCTTTTTTGGTGTAAATTTACATTTGATTCAAGTTTAATAGATTTTTTGTGGAGTTTTCAATAAAGCCGATAGTCTTAAACTCTAGTGCTTTAAGTATTAGGTCTTAGAATTTAATCTCTGGCTAAAGTAATAATAATAATAATAGATTGTTTTGACTAATACACATTCCATGTTTCTTAAAACTGTTTCTTTGTTCCAAAATTGTTGCCGTCGAAGGCAAATGCAATTGCGAATATGCTGTTCATACCTAAACTTGGCTCAAGGTCGCCTAAATTCTTATTTCCTGCTTCCATAAAACTACAGCTGAGTGGGGATTGGTCTCCGGACACTGGCAGATTGGCACAGAGACGCACGCTCGCACGTTTTTAATGATTTCGCAAGCGATTCTTGTGCAATTACTTCGTCTGTCGCCTCGGTCGGCATCACTAGCCAATCGTTTAGTCGTTTCAATTGGTTTGTCTTTAAGATCAGCATCAACTAATTGCTGAGATGGTGTACTGCCGCTACTTGACAATTTAAAATAAAAAATCTTATGAAAAATGTGATAAATAACATTTTTTTTGCTTATATGTCCTCTTCGCCTTTACAGTACTCGAAAGCCTCTTTCAAACGGTATTTTCGAGCAATCTACACCATCTAAAGTTTGCTTAACTTCCTGCATGAATTCTCGAATCTCCTTATTTGCCTTATTTTCGCCAAACTACGAACGTTGCAAGCGACATACAATGGGAAAATTATTTAAGTTTATAGTCAATCAGAAACTCGATTATGTTTACAAAGTTTACCTTGCATATGACGCCTCGCGAAAATGTAGATTAGAAGCTGGTTTGCAAGTTGTGAATAAAAGATTTGGTAAGATTTTGCAAACTTCCATTTGTTCCTTTGTTCTCGCCATAATATCGGCTTTGTAACGATTTTAGCGAACGAGCTTTTAAGTAAAGATCTTTTTCCAATTTGCTTAGATTTCGAAGTGGACGTACAAGCTTGATTCCATCGTTCAAATGATCGTCTGTTAAATTGGGCTGCTCTCTTCCCAAGCAAATAGCCGTCAATAGATCTGAAGCCAAAGTTCTGTTCACATCAGCCTTAAAGGTAAACTGACAATTGAAATGCTTAGCTGCTCTTGCTAAATTAAATTAATATTTACTCCGCTGATATTTAATAAAGTCTTGACGCGAAGTTAAATTTTATATTTGACTAATACACTCGACAAATTTTTGCTCTGCAGTCACATCTCGTTTCAAATATTTAACATTGATTTCATTGGCATATTGATTTTGCGACATCCTCTTCATTTTTAAAAAAAATCATTATGTAGCTTTGAAATTGCTTATAACTAGACAGAAACAATTGCATCGTCTTCAAAAAATATCGGTGCCGTCAAGTTCCATAGCTTCACCAGGGATCAAAGCAAGCTCGTCTATGTATAAGACTATGGCAGAATAACATAAGCGTTTAAAAATGCCTTGACTGTGAGCATAATGTAACATGTTCAATAATACTACGGATTCAGGGTAAATTTTTCACTTTGATCTTCATTTATATATGGTTCCAGTACTGCCGCATTTACAACAATTATTCACCTCTAGAACGTTGGACAGCAAATTTGTACGAGGTTCCTCGTCGGCTATCATGAACATGTGGATGCATTCCGGGTTTATATTTGTATGTCTCTCTTTTTGTATTTTCACAATAAAGCTTTGTAGCACAGAAAATAACAACAATAATTAGACCATTGAGGTGTTTAATGGCGGTGACGGAATTGTATACTTTCAATAAAGGGATTGCTTAATTAACGTAAAAACGAAGATTTCTTCTTTTTGTTTAGTTTTTCCATCAGTTGTTCTCTCCGAGAAATTCCAGTGTTTACTTTTTTATTTACAATAAACACGCAAAGTTTTTTAAAAAGCTTCGAGATCGGTGGAGGAGTTGGATTGGCTCAATATGACGGACGATATATATCAGTATGGATGGACGGATGAATTCAACGTTTATTGGGAGAAGAGGAATGTACGGCTGTACCTGAAGTTAACATGTATCAAGCATATAGTATGTCTTCTAGCGTTAACTACAATTTAATTGCCATCAGACTTAAATGAGATGTATTCAAACCAAATAGAAGCATCCAAGAATCCCTTACTTGAACCGGGAGGAGGAGCTAGTCCTATACTGCGTTAACTAAATTTAGCAGAAGATATATTGTCTAAAGGACCGGTTTCTTATGGAAGAGTTTATATTCGATAAACACCAAACCTTAAATCTCACGGTTTTCCACACCACCTTAGAGGTACCGTGTGGGCGCGTTGCCAATTATTTTAAATGGTTGACTCCCCTATAGGCCTACACTATTATAAACTTAAATTAAAACTATAATAATATTTACAATAATAACGATAAATAAATAAAATTTTCATTTATACATACATACAGGTACATAATACATAAACCCGTAAAAAGCATAGCTGCTGTGCGGCTGTTATTAACATCTTGATCTGCAAAAGAAAAATAATGTAATTACTAAATCTTATATATAAAGTTGATCGCGAACTTACCGTTTGGCCTATGGCAGTCTTTCATTGTACTGAAGCAATAGTGAACCTGCACTGGTTTTTTAATCTAAAATGAAATAAAAAGAAATGAATTTATTTTACACAATCGTAACTAAAGATAAATACAACTTACCTTGACATATAGTGAACCTTGATGGCTTATGAAAGATGGGCGACGGCGCGACGTTCCTTCTTTATCTATAATGAAAGATTATAGAATAAATATGTGTTAAATTTGAATTACTTTTACTTTGTTCTTTTGAGGCACGATATCCATCTTCCAAAGTGTGACGATTTTAATCTGCAAAGAAAAATTTGAATATAAGTTAATAATGTATCAACATTTTCGTGTTAAATTTGAATTACCTTAGTATCTAGACACGTTCTTGTCAATAGACTCCCTGCAGTTTTTGGTTTTCAGCAACATAGAAACCATATAAAACCTTATTTAACAGTCTTAAACACTTGTAAACAGTTTGAAAAAATAGCAGAATTCAACGTAGAAACCATATAAAACCTTATTAAACAGTCTTAAACACTTGTAAACATTTAAGACTAGTTATTTATGGTATGCGCGCATAAAATCTTCTTTTTATACCTTACACCACTTCTGGTGCCGCCAGAAGGACTTAAGATGGGCTCGCCTTTTTTTATATCGATCGAACCGTCTGTGTTCGTGTCCTCAACCTACAGGTCGAAATTTTCGATAAAATTTGGTACATTGACGTGTTCTGAGCCAAGCACGAACGCTATTGAAAATGGTTTGGATCGGTCCACTTTTTCGACTACACCCCATATAAAGCCTTATTTTGATAACATTGTTACTTTCAAATTTTTCATACCAATTTAGAATGTCGAAGTAATATCTCTCAACGACTTTTGTCAAAAAATTTTCTAAGTTGCAGGGTTTCCAATGTTACACATATTTTTTCGGCTATTTTAAGCCCTTCTGAATGTTACATACGTCTGCAGAAGCTCAATATACCTTGTTCCGCAAGTAGTGTAGGGTATACTTTTCCGCCCTAGAAGGGTTCACTTTTCATGAAATATGGCTAACGGAAAAAATAGGCGTAAATAGATATCGACCAACTCTTCTTGTAAAGTATCAAAAATTGGAAACGTTTGCCACGTAAAGGCTAACTTATTAAGATCTTTTTATGACGTGGAATTTAAAAAATATTCTTACGTGGTCCAATTCGGCAAGATTAATAGGATTGTTTATTAAACAACTTTTGCGATGACGAAGCCCAAGCGATATGCTAGATATGAAATATAAACAATTCCTTTCAGTTTTTACCGGATTAGTAATGTCGCAGTACACGTTGGCAAAAGATAAACCATCGATAGGTCTAGCTGATCGGATTACAGGGAAATTTTGTTGAGTTTAAAAATAATTAATCACTCCCCCAGCTCAAACTTAAAGTTGTTTAAATTGTTTAAGAGATAAGACGTGCAAAATTAGAAGCTTAACTTAACACCAGAAAGACTGAATAGTAAGCAGTCAAAATGCTGGACGGTAGTACACACACATCAGCAAGCAATAAAGAGGGGGGGGATGTAAATAGGATCAGTAATAAACGCAATAATATCAGGTATACAAAGGCACAAAATCTTAAAAAATTGTATCATAACATATATTATTGTATTCTAATTCAAATTAAAAAGCAGTCAAAATGACTTCTTTGGGCAATCTAGTGTTAACTAAACATAAGAGAAACGATAAATACAACCATTTTAAACAATCAGTTCAGCACCCCGCAACTCTGTACAAGCGCTGTGGTCATATCTTTCTCTTTGTGCAAAAAAATTTTGCAATTTCTTCTTTATTGCTTTATACGATTTTAAAAGTGTTCAAATTTATTAAAATATATTGAACTTTTTGTTTGTTTATTGCAAAAACTCATCATCGCGGATACCATGTTTCCATTACATCCAAAAAAAGTTGAAAACATTTGACATTATCCTCAGTAGTTTCCCAAACCTTTTCAAGTGCGTGGTTATTTCATAAATAAGTAAATAATAGACAACCATAAGGCATAATGGCCCCGGGGCCGCCGGATAAAAACTCGAATAGATTTCATCTATTAGCAGACGTATCCCCCCAAAGAAAAAAAATTAAAAATTCCGACTTTCCGGTGTTGCCAACCAGTAGCATCGTTCCTATCGACAAAAAATATGTTGTGATTCCTCCAACTGATCCCTCCATAACAATTTCGTAATTCAGTCCTTTCGCTATTAAAAAAGCACTAGATTGCATTACAACGCATATAGACTCTATATCGATTTTACGCGATGGAAATTTACTTGTCCTGGCTGGGAAACCGAGCGCAACCGAAAAGTTCATAAAGTCTAAATAATGGCTAATGAGCCACTTTGGGCGCTATATCTGCTAAACTGCATGACAAACTGAACTCGGTTAAATGCGTAGTTTATGCCCCATGCTTAAAGCATGTGCCGGAAGATGACATTGTACGCGAAATGGGCAGTCAAGGGAAGACTGAAGTCTATAAATTCACCAAATTGAATGACGATGGAAAAACCCGCTCTCCTACAGGAAGACCTTATTTAGTCTTTTGACCGCTATCGGCTACCGGCAACGGTTGATGTAGCTTGGTACAAATGTAAAGTAGAACTCTACATTCCAAATCCCATGAGGTGTAAAACCTGCCAACGCCTGGGCCATACGGCAAAAAGATGCATCAGTCCTCCAACCCGGGCTAACTGTGGTCTTCCTCCACATCCTGAACACTGTACGTGTAGCTTCTGCTTAAATTGCAACGATCAACACTCTGCGTTAGACAAATAATGCCCACGTTTTATACAAGCAACACCAAATATTGGAAAAATTAAAACAACAACATATATGCTAAAATCTAATATACTAAATTCTGTAGTATCTCCAGCTCTCAACAAATTACAAGTGGTAATGAATCCATTCTTTCATCCATTAATCAACCTTTAACTTCAAATTATTCACGTGCGCCCACTCGTTGCGATTCAAATGTACCAAACCACCTAAGTACAGATTATTCTACTGGTAAGAATAAATCACTAACGAAAAATTCCTATAGCGACCTTCTCGACGGAGACGCTGACATGGCAACCTAACCCTCCTTCCACTCTGCTTCCATGTCATTACAATTAAATAAAGTTTTTAAAATTCTACAATGGAACATTAAGCGACTTATTAATAATTTTGATGAACTCCGTACACTCATAAGTGATTTTAATCCAACCTTTACATCGCTTCAAGAAACCCATTGTAGAAACTCTTTTAATCCTATTCCACCCAAATCATAAACTGGATACTTCACGAATGCTGATCAAAATTCATATTCCAAACAAGGAGTTGGTGCTTTTATAAAATCAAAACAATCTCTGCATTTTAAATGATGGAAAACCAACGCACTTTTCAACTCATCATACATTTTCACATATTGATTTAACTTGTTGCTCTCCCTCACTTCTTCGTCTGGTTTCCTGATCTGTTTCTGATGATCTGCATAATAGCGATCACTTTCCCATCATAAGCGATCTTGAACTTTCATCGTCCAAAACAGGCCAAACTCCTCCTAGATAAAGCGGATTGGATCAACTACTCCAAACAGGTGGAGTCATTTTTGAATTCAAAGCCATTTAGCGGGAGCTGCAACCATGACGCTGCTATTATGTCTAAAGCGATACGCACGGCTGCTCATCTTTCTATTCCTCAATCCGACACCTCTTTTAAACGAACTAGGGTTCCTTGGTGGAACAACACGCTTTCGTTTCTGAGGAAAAATAAAATGGATTTATGGCACCGATTTAAGAGATGTCCTAATCAGGATCATTTGTTATTATACAAAAAGGCCAATGCTCTATTCAGGAAGGAATTACGAAAATCAAAGGCACTTAGTTTCGAACTTTTTTCGAAAGGAATTCAAAGAAATACATCAATGAAAGTTGTCTGGAGCAAAATCAACAGCCTCAATGTGACTTCAAATCTGAACGAAATCTCTGCCATCTGCACTCCCAATGGAACTTTAACTGGTGCAGATGAGATTTCTAATTACTTTGGATAAATGTGGTGCGAATACACCTCTGACAGCAACTTCTCCAGTGCATTCATCGAAAATAAAAGGACTCCAATATCTCTTTCAAATAACATTGATAGATTTGCCATGTTCCTGGAAAATTGCATATCCACCTTGGAACTTGGAAGTTGTCTTTCCAATTTGAAGGGGAGGACACCTGGTCTAGACCGCATCTCATACCAAATGATCAGCGCTGTGTCTAAGTCTAGTAAAAAGAAATTATTGGACCTATATAATACGATATTTTTGACTGGCCATATACATGTGGGAACTGGCTACAGTTGTTCCAATTCCAAAGTCAAAAAATGCCTCCATCGCATCGGACTCTTGCCCAATCTCTCTTTTATCTTGCCTCTCAAAGGTATTGGAAAAGATTATCGCATCTAGATTATCTTGGTTTCTTGAGTCCAAGAATCTGATAACAAAGCAACAAGTTGGTTTCAAGCGGGGTAGAGGGTTCATCGACGCTCTGTTACATTTTGATTATATTACAAACAAAGAAATTTCCGAACGAAATCACGTAACAATTCTCTCAATTGATTTCGAAAAAGCATTTGACAGAGTTGGTCTTCATGTTATCTTAAGACTCTTGAAATCATGGAATGTTGGACCCAAATTCTTCAACTACGTCAAATCATTCATGTCGCATCGGCGGTTTAAAGTTAGAATCAACAATCATGTCTCTGATTCCTTTCCGCTAATGAATGGCATTCCGCAAGGATCTCCTCTTGCTGTCACGCTTATCCAAATCGCCTTCAACGAAATTAGCAAAATTCTTTGTCGTGTTCCAAGAGTGGAACATTGCCTCTACGGAGACGATGTATACATTTTTACAAAAGAAAAAGATAGCACGAAAGCAATCAACATCCTCGAATTTATTGGACGAGAGATCTCCGCATAGGCAAACTCGTCGGGGGCTAAAATTTCCATACAAAAATCTAAAAAAATGCATATTTGTCGTAAGCAGATTTGCGATGCAGGAAATCTACTGATGCATATTAATGACTTACCAGTACTAAATGTGCCGACACTGCATATTCTCGGGCTCACTTTTTCCGACAAATATCGTTGGAAAGCACACTGTCTGCGGTTAAAAAACTCTATTTTAACAAGGGTGAATTTCATACAGTACGTTACTTGGAAAAGCCATGCGCATATTAACACTATTGCTTATCTTACCAAAATGCTTGTGTTAAGCAAGATTGACTATGCTTTGATAATTTATGGCAATAGCTGCAAATCTAATATCAACATACTTAAACCAGTCTACCACTAAGCAGTCAGAGCAAGTTGTTATGCTTTTCGGACGACGCCCAAAAATAATATTATAACCGAAACTGATCTCCCAACTTTAGAAAATAGACTTTATAAGTTAAAAGCCAAAATAGTCCCAAGCTTCTTAATTCAAACAAATCTATTCTCGGTGATGACGTGAGAAAGATTATTATTGCGAAGAAAATTCGAAGGTCACCATCTGCAATTGACTATTGTTTGTACGTCGCAAAGGAATTGAACATTCCCTTAAAAATTTCCCGCTCTTTTGGTGTTAAACCTCCATGGATTTTGAAAGACTGCTCTTTGGACATTTCGCTGTCTATGCACAAGAAAGAAAATACTCCAAATTATGTCTTCAGGAATCTAATAACTGAAAAAACCCAAATATTGGAAAGTACTGGTTGGAATCTTTTATAAATAGTCGGCTCAAAATCTTCTGGTCTGCCTCCTGGTTGTGCCGTGGTAGATGCTACAGGACGAGTTCTTCTCAATCACATATTTCACGAAAGTACTTCAACTTTCAGAGCTATCCTTCACGCTGCGAACCTTGCCCATAAAAACAAACTCAAAACCGTCATTGTTACCGACAGTTTGTCTGTATTACAAGCTATTCGGAATCCTTCGACTTCGAGATGGAGCACCATCAACAAATTAAGGAATTTAATAACAACACCCCCGAGGGAAAAACTAAAATGTTATGGGTACCAAGTCACATTGGTTTATTGGGAAATGAGCAGGCTGATCGAGCGGCAAAGTATGCTGCTTCTGCTCCTCTAATTATGGATGATGTCATGGAAAAGTTGGATCTTCAAAGATACATTGGAAGAAAAGTTAGAGAGAAAATTGCAGAACGAAATTTACAATACCATCATCAACACTACCCTTCCATTAACCCTCAATTAACTCCACTTTTATATCCAACAAATGTTGAGAAAATCATGTTCCAAACATTTTTGAGAATTCGCCTTGGTCATGCAATTGCAACTCACCATTGGATCTTGAAGAAGTCTTCCTCTCCAATCTGCAGTTGTGGACAAACTCTCATTATTAAGCACATTATCTGCGACTGACTTAACTTCTCCTTGGCTAGAAGTATTGCATTTGGAACGATTAACCCTTTGGACATTCTTCAGAACAGAATATCAATTCAATATATTACTTTTTTAATACTATTAAGCTCATTATCTAATATCCATTTATTTAAATTAGAGCCGATAGCCTGTGTTGCTAGTGCTCAACGCCTTTTTTTTAGTCTAAGAATTTATTTCATTACTCTAAAATTATAATAAAAAAAGTAATACTACTGCAGTTTGGATCGTCCTGGTGCACACGTATGCTGTCGGAAATCATGACAAAATCTTACGCAATCGAAATATGTTGATTTGCCTACGGTAAGAGGTATAGTAATTAATTCCTACATTGATATTCTTGAGGTGTATAAATCTTTTGTAAATATCTTTTATGCTAATGAGTAGAACAATCCTTGCCTTGTATTCATCCATCTATGGTTACGAACTAGACATTTATTATGGAACGATTAATTTGACTTGTTTCTCTCTTCTGTCGTCAGAAGAAGCAGAGAGTTGAAAAGAGCGAATTGAAGGAGAATTCAAAATCGAATAGAATTTCTTCGACTAAAGGTATTATATGCAAGAGCAAGCAGTTCACTTGCTGCTAATTAGCAGTGTGATTCCATCACTGTTGTTGATAACAGAAAACTAAAAGATCTTTGGGATTTTACTTTACATCTTATTTTGAAAATTATCTTGGCGGCCTTGGCCATTTACTTTTCTCTGCTATCTATATATACTATATGTTACGTTAGAATTGTGACAAAAGACATTCACGCTTACATAACATGTTTTGCTTGCTACGCTCTCATTTATTAAACAGTTTATGAAACATTTCTGCTTTACTTTTGAGATATATTTATAGTCTATTGCGCTTTCCTTGGAGTGCAGATCCTACGACAGTGTATCAAGTCTACAAAATCTTCTAGGAGAAGGATGTCATTATAAATCATTCATAGTTGATCGCGTAAAAGCGGGAATTAAAGAGTTTTCTTTTGTAGCATTAATATACCGTAAGGATCGGAACATGTTTGCTCAGTTTTGTGCTGGTACTTTGATTAGCAAAGAGTATGCTTTAACATCCGCTCACTGCTTCCTCTACGGCACGTAAGTTTATCGTGCTATCGATTTATTGAACGCTTTAACATAATAAATCACTTTCTTTTCGTTCCTAAGTCTTCGCCCTAACTGGGTGCGTGTAAATGTAGTGAAATGTTCAGCCATCTGTTGGAGAAAGGTATTAACAATCACACACATACGTGTGCTATCCCTTCTACTGGCGATTTCCGTACTTGTGATGAAGGTGGTTCATTTTGATAATCATCCCGAGTTTACCTGTCAATTCGTCGGGCATTATGTCGCTCGGAACAATGTTTGCGGAACTAAGAACGATACATCCACAGAGTTAAATTATATACCAATTGGATACAACGTATCATTTGGGATTAAATTAAAAAAAAAAGAATTTAATAAATTACTCACACATAAAGAGTATCATTTTTACGTATAATAGTTAAATTTTCTTGGTTTGACTAAGATATCTCGCCAAAACGAAGGTGCGACAGAAAATTTCTCCCTTTTTTTTTTTTTTTTTTTTTTTTTTTTTTATAAATGTTCCGAGCAAGTGAAGCCACAAGAAACCAGAGCAGCATACATCACCCCGCCTTAACTTAGCCACGAATAATACGTCTAGTCATTCAGAATTTTTTTTTAACGTGGAAAGATCGATTACTTTTGATTTGTGTTCATGCGGAGGGAGGTTACGACAAGACCCCGGGTCTACACTAAGCTACACAAAGAATAAAAAGTTTCCTTGCATCGATTCAAGCGCATGAATGATGCACTTATACCCGCCGAGTACCAAAATAACGGAGACCTCCTAACTACATAGTCGTTTAGCTATACAAATATCATCAAATTTCTTACACCTTCTCTTCTTCAATTCCCAAAGCGATATTTGTTATTATATCTTACAGCGCTTGTAATACAAGAATGAACGGATATATATGCAACACTCAGAAGCATTTGAGGTACACCCATCCTTTATTGCTCTGATCGCCTCAGAAAGTGATTCTGAATAGGATTATCTGTCCGTTTTGTTTCTCAAAATACTCACTATCTCTTGCTTTAACTCTTTTCTTCTTTTTAATAAAAACCTTAGTGGATTCATTGATTGAGGCGAAATACCAAAATATTTTTGGGAAAATACTAAATATAGTATAGTATTATTTCGATGTTGAAAATTTCAGCCAATTTTATTTATGCATAAACAACGTTGATGAATGTTTAGCTTTTATTAGATCATAATAAAAACAAAAATATAAACAATATTGAGACCTGCAATTTGTGAACCCATTTCGCAGTAGGAGTGACTGCATAAATTTGCATGGACGATTCATGCGCTGCTTTTCTCTATAATTTTTATCTGATGAATTTATATCAAATTGGAATTATACATTTTCTTTCATAGCATTAGCGCCATCATGTCCGCCGTTGCTATGTCGTGAACTATTTTCTCTGCTTCCTTCTGTTTCGCTATCGTTTCTTTTGAACAACTCTTTCTCTTCAGGGATTTGTTGTTTTTCGTGTTTCATTAATAAAAAAATCGGATGCTCTGACGGACATTCCAAATGAACGCAGTGAAAAATTTCATTAGCTATATTTCGTGTTCCAACAAGTCTTATAAAAACCACGGGATTGGATTGGAGTATGTAATTTTGCCAAGACCTTGCCTACTCTCCACTTCCCAATTGATAAAGTGTAGCCAAAATTCCCATTCGTAATAAACATGACTGGCATCCAATAAAGCGTTCGGTGTGCGGCTGACACCTCCTACAACGTTAGTTCCCATTTCTATTGTGGCTACATGATTCGTGGGCGCTACAACGCCTTCAACTGAACACGGTGTATTCATTAGATGCATGGCTTTCAATGACACAACATGGAATATATGATTTACAGTGTTGCGTGTGTCGGTGCTGCCACGAATAATAATGATATAATCAATAACACGATCCCAGAGCAAGATTTTAATAGGTTGATAAGACAAATTGTACCCTATTCTACCGTAATGTCATTTGTATCAGAAATGTACTGAAGGGTGTAGCCCTTTCCCATATCGTATGATGTAACGTAGCCGCTTAAGAACTATACAGGACATTCACCATGTGTGGTGCGTGAATGAAATTTTTTTGTGGTGAGATTTTCCTCAGACCATAAGGCAGCGCGATATTTGAAAGCGTTCTGTGCTTCAATGGAATCCAATAGTTTATTCGAACCGATAATGCCCGAAATGCGGACGACTTGAAGTAAATGCACATACCAGACAACAGTCTGAAAGTTCCTATTTGATTATGTTTGCTTCACTCCCAAATGGCCAAGAAAGTCTGCAATTCTGATGCGAAAAAACATGCACGTCGCAAAAATTTCTTGAAGGCCTTCCTTCAAAAAACTCTTAAATTGGTTATTCTCTAAAATGTGAGGGGCGTTACGATCCATAAATGAGAACTAAAGTCACTTTGGTTTACATTTATAATTAATAATTTTTACTAAAGTCCAGAACGTCCTTGCGAGTCATAAATACATAACTATCTTGTTGCTCAAGAGTACGACCTGCTTGCCACGCCTGTAACTGCAACCAAATGAAATCCGTAACTTTTCTAATTCTCAATTTTTGACCTCTAGGGTAATCCTCGTTATTTGAAAGAAAATCAATGTAACTCCTAAATAAAAGCATCAAAAATGGATAAAGTATTTTTATTTGTTTACTTATGGCAACGTAAAATGAAATAGTTTAATAGAGAGTTCATAAACATTGAAAGCCATTTTACTGCAGTTATCATAAGATAATTTGATTTTTGTGTTTCTATTTAATACCTAAACCATTTTACATTGCACACATTCTGCAACGATATTCACCATGAAATGATTCTTCTTACATGTTAATTCTTTGGATTTGAGTAGATCAAGCATTTGCACAAAATAAAATGTCGGCAAAGATAGGATAATACGACAGTATTGCCAAATTTACGACAACTTTATATTTCTTCAACTATGGTTACCATTATGCTAGAACACGTTTATCAGTACGTCACGGGCAAAAACTGCCATCCTCACCAACAAATTACGTTCTACCTACGGGTTCTTTCTACAAATTAATTGAGTAACGCACAATCGATGGTATTTCGACGTAAAATGCGAAAATATATTTCGTGCTGTGCCCCTTTTCGTTGGCTCCTCTGTTAAATCGCAACTTCTGTAGCAAGGCAAAATACAATTCCATGATTTTAGGAAAAAAATTGTTCAAATCTCATATGCAGATGAAGTTACTTAATAAACTATTTTTACTTGAACATGTGCTTTGAAACGAAAATAAAAATACTTTATTACAATCCCAAGTATAATACTATAGTGAAAATATCAGACCGAGTGTTTAGTCAGTTATTGAAAGAATATTCGGAATGGTGGGATAGCGTGGGAAGTTAACTGACCGATTGGCGGAAGAAATTGGCAAATGCGCAAGACGTTACAAAAAAAATTAATAGAGTTAGGTATAGTTTAAAAAGGCTAAATAGAAGACCGGGGCGGTCAGACAAGAATCTGTAGTACGCGCATTTGATCGAATCCGCTGTATTCAAAATGGGTGATCTTATAAGTGTAGTGTCCAATAATGAATTCAAAGAAGAACTTATACCAAAGCATTTGTTGCCGTATTCCGCAACAGCGGATACATATAGGGATAGTGGCATAGATGACACCTGTAAAGATGATATGATTGTGAGTAAGTCCGGACACAAACTAAGATGTGAAACGAGGTTTTTAGGGTTCCATCGAGTAATAATTGGTACTTGCGACACGCTTGGAAATTTTTGGCAAATGCGTTTTCGACCCAATCATATTACGCATGTGCTAATTGATGAAGCCAATCAGTGCACAGAAACTGAAATTATGGTTGCTGTTGCTCAAGTATCAAAAGAGCGTGGCCAGGTAATCCTTGCTGGAGATCCCCATCAATTGGAGCCAGTCGTCCTAAACAGATATTCTCGTGAACGCGGTCTTCCGCTATCATTTTTGGAGAGAATTCTTTCTTGTGCTCCATACTTAAGAGATGTTGATAGTTTTCCCTTTACATGTGGTTTTGACCCTTGCCTGATTACAAAATTACTCTACAATTACCGGGCGTTGCCCTCCATACTTAGTGTTTATAATGAACTGTTTTACAATGCGGAACTGGTACCAATGATAAGAGAAGACATTTCTAGGAAAGCTGAAATGCTGAAGCAACTTGACGATATACTGCCGTAATCACCAAATCGAGACGAATCACGGTATATTCTTCTGCGGACTACGTAGTAAAGATATGCAGGAAAACGACTCGCCGTCGTGGTATAATCCTTACGAACCGAAGAACGTAAGTTGTCTTTAGTTTAAAAGCACAATCCCTTCTATTTAGTATTTCATAACATATATTTCATTTTTGAAGGTTTTCCTAATGACAGTTTAAGAGTAGGCGTGGGGCTGCACCGTTGAGTGTCCGCACAAAAGATGCAAGCCACTTTACAAGAAGTCAGGCGGCGTCCGCAACAGCCCGAGAAAGGATCTCACATAATTCGAAATTCCATACTCTCACATAATTTATATGCGAGCCGCGAAGCCGCTTTCGGAATTAATTGAGCAGGAGGAGGTATTCGTGGACTTCGAGGAAGAACACGTAGTGGATCAAAATGAAAAAGACATAGAAGAGATATTAATAGATACGGCTACGACCAAAACGACTAATACGTCAAGTGGTCAGTTCGCGTCATCTAGTGTAAATAATACAAAACGGATGAGTATTTGCGTTTGTTGTACAAAACTTTGTTGAAGGCAAACAATTTTTTTTTACTTGAAAAGTTTAGTAAAAGTCACGAAAATTCCATCTTTTTTTTTCTCATTTCTTAAGAGAGAAGTTAAATGTTCTCTATTTACATTAAAACACAAAATAACTTTTATAATAAATTTCGTTTGTGTAGGTGTTTTAAAGTAAAAGTGTTAAAGTAAAAGTACAATTTTATATATCATAGAAATTGATGGAAAATTTTGTGCTAAAGGCAATATTACAAAATTATGTTATGCGTGCATGTGTGAATAGATATGTCTTTAAAGCGATTTAGTGCACATATATAAGAGGAAAAATAACTAAAGTATGCAATTATTTCTCTGTACCAGGGATATTATATTTCTCACTACCAAGGATTTTATTTTCAGTTTCGGTGAGGAAGTCGCATTTCTCTTTCCTTTTATAATTTTTTTCTTTTTCTGTCGTTGCCAGTTGAAAAATTTAACGAAATTAGTATGTACATAAATAATAGCGAAATATAGCGAACATCAACGATAGTTAAATTTTCCATACATAATTATACTCCAAATAAAATAATTAATACTGCAATGCTACTTTGATGTTATAATATAGAGGTCACTACGATGTTGTAATATTATTTAATCAGTGCTATAATGATAGTTATGATTTATAATATGACTCAATACGGTAGTGTTCTTATAACCGTTCTCAATCTGACATATTTTGAATTATATCTTTTGGTTTGTAAAGCTGGTCGCATAAATATTTTGCTTTATTAATTTTATACTTTATTCCCTTATGCTTCAAATATGCCCTCAGATTTACATATGTTTTTGCTGCCATAGTGTCTTTTAACTATTTTGCTTTTATATTTAACGCCACTTCTTTCTACAGCAAAATGCAATAATAAATCAGCGGCAGCCTTTCCCACCGCGCATCGACAAATAAACAAAATCGAAAATTCGAACAGGCCGTGCTACGCAAATGGAGACAAAAGACTCAACCGACTACGGACCAGCTCTAATGCTATCAAGCTGTAACCTCTAAAGCAATACTTGTTTAGTGCACTGCGATACTGACATTTTTTTTTTCTTTTAATTAAATTACAAATTAATTAAAGAACGCCGATCGGAGTCGAACCTCTCTACAATTAACCAGCTGCGACGTCGCCGTCGCAAACGAAGACCCTGAGCACGCAGGCGTCACCGAGGCGTCCAAACGCCATAAATGCCGTACGGATGAAAAAAATTATATAATTAATATTAATTAATAATCGATATTAAATAATATAATAAAATATAATAAAATTTAAAAAACAAGTAAAATTGTATTTTTCTGTAATTTTTTTGTTGTAAACGCCATAAATGCGGGATAGACAAAAAAAATTTTATAATTAATATTAATTAATAATCGATATTAAATAATATAATAAAATATAATAAAATTTTAAATACAAGTAAAATCGTATTTTTTTGTAATAGATGTACTCTGCAGATTTTCGGGAACGGGTACATATACATATTGAAGATAATTATGTCGATTTTATGACAAATCATACTACTTCGGATATGTACGTATGTGTTTCTGGTTTTAACAGAATGTTGACTTCGATTTCTCGTTTTAACAGGTACATTGAGGAAGGAGAACATTTATTTCGCGATACTGAACACTTATTAAGCAATGAATACATTAATGGATCTTTAAGAAATCTACTACTACAATTGCAATCTACAATTTGCAATTGTGGGCAAAATCTTACGAATAAACGTATACTTTGTGATAGCAAACTCTTTCCAATATTCGAAGATTTGTTTCTGAAACATCTTGGAAGTACCTGGAAAACATAATATGAATAGAATATTTAATTTTATTAGAACGATTAAATTAAGCATCTACTCTATCTTTTTTGAAAACGGAATCATTTTCATCATTTCTAACAGCGTTCGTCCTTGGATTCTGCAAACATATACACTTACTCTCATATGGACGCAATTTTTATAGAAAAATATGGCGATTTTGACGATTGATTGAAGCAAAGACAATTAAATGGCAAGACGGTCTTACATTATGCATAAAATTCTAAG